GCGCGGCCCGCCCTTGGGTGATGTGCGGGAGAGCACCAACTCGTGGTTGTATGTCCCACTTCTCCAGGCAGCTGCAGCAGACCTCGCGGTCGCTGCGCTTGCGGAATGCCGAGCCGACCCGCGCGCTACCGACTGGTGGGAAGAAGCCCGCCACTTGCTCATGGTGTCCGAACCGGTGGGCCCGCGCACGCTGCTAGCTGCTAGCAGCTTTGGCACGTGCCGTTGGGGCCGCGCCAGCACACGAGCACCACTTGCCGGATCTCATCTCACGCATCCAGGACGTGGGCTTGCCCAGCAGTGCGCAGTGCGCGTGTCCACGTCGGATGGGCAGTCCGCCAGCTCCGGGAGCCGGATGGGTACTTGCTTGCGCCCGTGCAAGAGGCCCTGCTCGAATGCTATGGAGGCATGCGTCTGGCGTCGGCACTTGACTGGCGCTCCGATCGCTTTCGCCCAGCAGCTGCTCCCGTAGCTCATTCCTCGCCGCACCTCGTCGATCAGGCGGAACCAGGTGCGGCCGCAGCGCCAGATGCTGACGACGGCGCCCGTGCAGACAATGATGAGGCGGATGGGAGCAATGCAGGCGACGGAGATGCCGGTGTCGCAGCGAGCGCGCGCGGTCGGGGTCGTCGAGGCGGCCGGGGGCGCGGGCGCCGTCCACTTTTGCCTGCTGGCCTGGATGCTCCTGGTGGGGATGTCGCTCCCGACGTGACTGGCCACCCGCCGCCCCCCGCGGGCACCCGAGCGGAACGCCGCGCTGCGGCCGCGGACGCCGGGTTCCGCGCTGGGTTTGCCTCTTTGGACGAGGTCTGCCTCGAAACCACCTGTCGTGCCCGTGTGCTGACGCTGCAAACGGCCCCCCAAAGCTTGCGTGGCACCTTGCGCTCTGCGCTGCGGGCCGGCCTTCTCTCAGCCACGGTCGGGTGCACGGATCACGAGCGAGTGCGCGGCTGGAAGCTCTTCCTCCTAGCCCCCCGCATGTTGCTTTACCGGGAACCCGGTGTGTCGCGCGTTCCACCTGCAGAGCTTGACCGTCGCAACCGAGCCTTCCAAGCCGGTGACTGGCTCGACCTGATCCGTGAGGCAGCAGCTGCTTGCACTGCCAGCGCGCCCGGGCCCCGCCGCAACGTCGCCTCTGATGATCAGTCAGGCCCGAGCCCGCCGAGCCGAGGCTCTTGTCCACCTGGGTGAGTTGTCTGCAGCGAGCCGCGCCCTCACGGCTGAACCGCTCGCTGAGGGGTCCTTGGCAACGCTCGCTGAGTTGCGCGACCCTGACCGGCGCCCAGCCGAACCGCACGGCCCGCACAGTGACGAGGTGCTGCGCTTCCAGCCGGAGCTGCCATGTCCGTTTCCGCAGCACGCCCTCGTCGCATGCCTGCAGTCGGCTCGGCGGGGGTCCGCGGCAGGCCCGTCCGGGGCTACCAACGAGCATCTGCGCGTCATGCTGGATGACAAGGAGGATTGCCGTCTGCTGCATGGCGCTGCTGAGCAGCTCGCCCGCGCAGAGGTGCCCGCTACGGTCCTTGCTGCCATGCGGGTCGGACGCATCGTTGCCTTGCATAAGCCCAACGGCCGTGTGCGTGCTTTGGTCGTCGGGGATGTGCTGCGCCGCCTTGTTGGACGCGTCCTGGCCCAGCAGTTTGCCCCACAACTGCAGGACGCTTGCCTCCCTTTTCAGTTCGGGCTGAGCACGTCCGCTGGCGCGGAGGCTGTCACGCGCCTGTTGCGCGCCGCCACGGAGGCCGCGCCCCGCGCCACCATTTTGTCGGTAGACGCGGTCGGCGCATTCGACCATGTCGCCCGCCAGGCCATGTTGCGTGGCCTCTTCGAGCGTCCCGCGCTCCAGCCTCTGCTATATGCGCGCCAATTTTACTCCGAGCCCAGCGCGTATGCCTGGCAGGACGCGGACGGCGTTGGGCATGTCGTCCATCAGGGCGAAGGCGGCGAACAGGGAGACCCGCTTATGCCGGCGCTTTATGCCCTCGCACAACACCCCGCGCTCGTGGCGGTGCAAGACCAGCTCCTTGACGGAGAGGCCCTCTTCGCCTTCCTGGACGATATCTACATCGTCGCGAACCCGGAGCGTGTACGCCCCCTGCTGGATGCGTTGAGCGCTGCCTTGTGGGAGCACGCCCGCGTCCAGCTTCATGCTGGCAAGACACGCATCTGGAACGCGGCAGGTGAGGAGCCCCCTTCCATCGCTGACCTGACCCGCGACGTCTCGGAGCCCGTCTGGGTTGGCGACTGGTCCCTCCCGCCCGCGCAGCAGGGGCTCCTGGTGCTCGGCGCGCCGCTCGGCCACGAAGCCTACATCCGCGAGCGACTCCGCCTCAAGCGCGCCGAGCATGACGTTGCTCAGCCGTATCCCACGGCTTGACAGCTTGCAGGCAGCCTGGCTGCTTCTTCATTTCTGCGCGGTGCCCCGCGCTAACTTCCTCCTCCGGGCCCTCCCGCCCCACCTCGCGGAAGGGTTCGCGCGTGACCACGATGATGCCGTTGCACGTTGCCTTGCAGAGCTCCTCCAGCTCGATGCCGAGCAGCTGCCCGAACACAGTCTTCAAACGGCGCGGCTTGCCTGGCGGTGTGGTGGACTCGGCCTGCGTTCTGCATGTGCAGATCGTCCCGCTGCGCACTGGGCTTCCTGGTGTGACACCTTTCCCGTCATCCAGGCTCGGGCACCCGGGGCTGCTGAACACTTGCTCAGTGCCCTCGATGGCAGAATCCCCCTGCCCTCTGCCGCCGCTGCTAACAGCGCGCGGGAGTGCCTTTGCGACCTTGGTTTCGCCGCGCCTGTGTGGCCGGCAGTCCTTGACATCGCGGCCGCTCCCCCAGCACGAGAGGGAGGGGATGATGCTGGCAATGCCTTGCGGGGCTGGCAGCGGCGAGCCGCCCGTGCGTGCGATGAGCGCGCGTGTGAGACGCACCTTTCTGACCTTCCACCTGCGTCCCGCGCGCTGCTGCTCTCGCAAGCAGGGCCTCACTCCGCTCGCGCCTTCACCGTTTCGCCCACCCACGAGGCCGTGCGCATACCCAGTGCCCAGTTCCGTGTCCTTCTGCTCCGGCGGCTGCGCCTGGCCCTCCCACTCGCTCCGCGATCCTGCAGCTGTGGGGGTAGGCTGGACCCCCTTGGCGACCACCGGGCTGCCTGCGCCACGTCGGGGGTCCTCGCCGCGCGCGCCGCGCCGCTGGAACGAGCGGTCGCGCACGTTTGCCGTGAGGGTGGCGCTCGCGTCGCGAGGAATGTGCGTGTCGCGGACATGAACATTGATGTGCCCGTCGCCGATGACCGGCGGATTGAAGTGGTCGCCAACGGGCTCCCCCTGTGGCACGGTGCGCAACTCGCCCTCGATGCCACCCTCGTGTCGCCGCTGACACGTGCAGGGGAACCCCACCCACGGGCTGACGTCGAGCCTGGCCACTGCGTCGCCGCGGCAGCGAGGCGCAAGAGGCAAGGCACGTATCCGGAACTGCAGCGGGCACGGCGCTGCCGCCTTGTCGTGATCGGGCTTGAGGTTGGGGGGCGCTTCGGCGCTGAAGCAGCCACCTTCCTCCGCCTGCTTGCGCGCCACCGGGCTGCGACTGTCCCGGCGCACTTGCGACCCGCGGCCCGGGCAGCATGGATCTCCCGCTGGACTGCGCTGCTCGCAGTCGCGGCGCAGCGCTCCTTGCAGTCGCGGCGCAGCGCTCCTTCGCCAGCTCCCTCCTTGAGCTGCCCCTGGCGGGCGAGGCCAACGGCGATGACAGCGAACCCGAGCTTCATGAGCAGCTCGCTGACGGGCGCTGGGAACGGCCGGTCGCCGCAAGCCGCCTCCCTGCCCGCTGACCCCTTTCCGGTGACCCCCGACGCTGTGACTTTCCGGGCTGGCGGAGAAAAGGTGCGAGAAAAAAAAAAAAAAAAACGCCCCCAGTCGGCTGCCGCTTCGCTAGCACTCCGTAGGAGTCTAGGTAGCTGACGTCGTTGGGACTCGGGACGCTTTCTGCGGACGCAAATTTTTTTTCAGAGACGTACGTGTTGTTGAAAACGCTGCGCGCCCCAACGCCGTGAGAAAGTCATCTTAACAAAAAACCCAGCACGGCTTTTCGATGCAAGTGGTTTTTCTCGAAGTGGCTTTTCGAGAACGGGATGCCTGTCGGGAAAAATTGTTTTTCAGGAATCTCGAGAACGTGCAACACATCTGCACTACGTGACACGGTGCCAACCACTAAAGCAACCAGCAGAACATCTTGTGTGTTGCAGCCAGCATTTGAGGGATCTAGTGTGTTTAGGGTTTATGGCTCAGGACCTAGGGGTTCACGAGTTTATCTTGCAACTCTACCTTCAAGGGTTCTTAGAGTTGAGATTTCAGAGGGTTCCAGATCTAACTTCTCACATGGTAAGTGAGCACGTGAAAGAAGTCCGAAGGGTGAACCTGCAGCACACCTTGCCTGTCCAGAACGTTCTATGCCATGCGTGCAGAAGCCCCAAACCCTCTAAACTTTAAACCCAAACCTTGAACCCTAGTAAACCACCCCCTAAACCCGAATCCCAGAGAGCCCCACAAGGAAGTGCTGCGTATGGCTATCGCGCGGCTGTCAACGACAGCGAGAGAAGTGGCTGCACAAACCAAATTCACACGCAACGGACACACCACTTTTTTTTCCCAGCTTCCGATGACACTGCCTCCCCCAGCAACCTACTGACACAACGGCATAAAAAAATATATTCGCAAAGAAAAGGTCATGGCTTTTCACAAAAGGTAAGCTTTACAGAAATGTAGCTCAACAAGAAGCCGTGTTCTTTGAAGAGCATAGCGGCGTGACAAAGAGCACATTTCGCGAAACCCGTCTTGTCAGGAAACAAAAGCAATGTCAGCACGAGTGACTTTCAAAGACGCTGCACACGCAGCGCCACAAGAAAGATCACTTCTTAGGAAAAAGAAGAGAAAGCGGGTGGCTTTCTTGCAGAGGTGACTTTTCAAAAAAAAAAGTTGCTTTTCGAAAACAATGCGCGCTCTCCCGCCCAGGCATGGGCTGTCTCAGCGGAGAGGCTTGCGACATACATGGTGCGTCCATAGCATATGTATTGCGTGGGGTGTTGAAATTGACCCTGGTCAAAAAGGTAGCCTTCGGGAAGCTTGGAAGGCTCAATTGGGGCTTATGGCGCTTTGGGTTACCCGCGCGCGTGTGTTGCAGGAAGCAGCGCCAGCAGAGTCAGCCGCCACAGTTCTGACAGTGTCGTGGACGCATTTTCACGTTGTTGAACAACGACACCATGCTGTTAGCCATAGAAGCCACAACGGGAAGCATAGGGTAGTGCGAGCACGCGGAACCAACATCACGAACGGTGTTTATGCTGGCATGGCCAAGGTGAGCAAGAAGAACAACGCCAGCCATTGGCAATTCGCGAGCTAGAAGTTCATGAGCCGAGCCTGACGTCCGTTTTGCCACACATGCCAGCATCTTGCTTGCACTGTTATGCACATGGCTTTTGGAAGTTTTTGGCAGTTGATACCCTTCAACATCCTTGTATGCGGCCATGCTAAGTCGTTCTGGCCTTTGAGTAGATATAAACAAACCAGGTAGCTACAGGCAGTGGTGAACGTTGTGCCCAATGTTTTTTTGTATGCATGTCAATCACTCGGGGAGGGCTTCCCGCCTGCATGCCTAGTAAGGCAAGAGCAGACCGTTTCATTGCTGGTTGTATTCTCCTTGAAACGTCTAAACACCAAGCTCGTGCAATGTTTGGTATGTTGTGCTTACATGGTGAACTGTTTCGCCCTTGGCACAGCAACTTGCTTAAATCCTTCATCTTTGTGTTGGGTGGGAGAAAAAAGTGTTGTAAGATTGATTTCCGTGCGTGATCGAGGACATGTGTGTGATGGGCATGTGGCTTCAAGTCGAACCCGAGGTATCGTTTACACATCTAGGACAGGGAATCGTTCAACCAGATGTCCCGGGAAAAGGGACTCAAAGGAGTCCAGGGGTGCAAACGGGTCCCAAAAATTGGCACGAGTTGCACGGGTAGGGGCCTCAGAAAAGGTCCCAGGCAGGTCCCGGAGCAATGCCAGTCATTGGGAATGGGCATGCCTCCTTGTTGGGCACGGGCACGCCCCTTGACTGCCCTTTGTAAAGTCAAAAGGCGTGCCTATGCGCAATAAGGAGTTTAAGGTTTATGTATACAAGTAAAAGTCGATTAGGGTTTTGGTAGACTAAGCTCAATATATAGCAGCGACCCAGTGTAGTATCGCAAACGGATTCGGCGAACTATCTGCAAGGCAGAGCACGGTCCCCAGCAAAATATGCTCGATGTGGAGCATTCTGAGATCAGTCTTCCAGAAAAAACGTTCGATACAGATGAATGGAGCTGGGCGTGATTATAAACAAAACAAGAAGAGAACAACTTGCCCTGAGTACTTCTAGTGCGTTGATGACCTTGTGCCGCCTGTATCAATGTGCTGTGTTGAATTTGGTTTGTTTCCTGGTCGAACTGTCAGGAGCCCCCGCGAACCATCTCTTTCGTGGAAGTTGCGCCCATGCCTGAAGGCCGAAACTGATGCACATTTTTTGTGTGATCGTGATGCAATGTCTCCACATCACGCGCGTGCGGCATCGGCTTGGGGGTTTGGGTTCCGGTTGGAGGAAGTTCAGCTGATAATGTGACAAGACGGCATCATTTCGAGCGGCACTTCGCGCAGGCCCTGTGGCGTGCAAGAAGAGCAGCCTGAAGGTGCCCGGCCTAGAGCGAGTCAAACTTTGTCAGACTTGTCAGGGATCAATGATGGGTCTCGGCAGGGAACTGAAGGGTTTAGCATGGTTCAGCGACTTCCTCGATCGTCACCCGACACCACTCACAGGATGGGTCGCCGATGTCCATGTATGGTGGCACGGCATCTCCCCGGAGGGCTGAGGTGGCTGAGGTGCCCTTGTCACTGCGGTATCTGCGGTTTTGGAGTGATGCCCAGAAGATCAAGTGCCAGCAAGCGCAAGGCAGAGTCAAACAACGGAAGTAGCGGCGGCCTGCGGGCTATCTCTGGCAAGGACGCGACTGTGGAGTATCGCCACTTGCAGCTCAAGTGTTTTCCTTTTTTCCTTCGTCTAAACCGTCTAAACGTGTAAATCCTAAACTCTGGAGGACTCCCCTGCCGGCTCCGAGAAGTTGCAGGTGCGCTTTTGGTGAGCTTTTGCACTTTCGGCTCTAGCTGAGTATAGTCGAAGTATATATAATTTGCCTTTTCGTTGACATGCGGTCCAAGAAGCACCAAAACATGAAAGACATGTTGTGCTTCCAGCCCCTGTTGGTAGCAGGTGAAAATGGCCGTTCGTGCGAGGCTGAGGGGGTCCTGAACCACTCTGCTCAAGGGGGCTTGGGGCCCGTTCCGAACAACTATACACCAAGCTATACCAAAAACAAAAACAAAAAACGACAGACGGCAACTGTGGAACTTCAAATTTAAGTGAATAATGCCAAACCTTTCATTTGATTTGCTAACAAACACAATAAGCGCGTACAGCCCCTTGCTTATTCTTACAAAATCTGGTTGTTACTCCACGCGTGGACCTATGCGATGTGTTGCCAGCGCTCAGGCCGACAACATTCATTGGCCGCACTTCGACCACGTGCCTTGTTGGCAGCTTGAGTGTGGAGCCGGGATGCAGGAGCAATGCTCATCAACTGCACCAGCCTGGCATGCCGACGAGCCTGCCATGTAAGACAGCATTCTGCAAAGTAAGATGGCGACACCCGGTCGCTTGTTTCCGAGTCTTTCCTATCCTGCTTGCATGCTGGACCCTGGCATGCTCATGCATTTTCACTGCGCTCCTTCTCCAAGGAGCTTCGCCCAAAGGCAAAGGCGCCGTGCTCGGTTGCGGTGCCAAGAGAAAGCAGTGTCGTGAATGCCGCATGCCCATGATGATTTGATGCCAGGGGCCCCGAGCCCCTGCCCAGCGGAAGCAAAGAAAAAAAACAAAGCAAAGCAGATGAAGGAGAATGATTGCAAGAGGAAAGAAGAAGAAAACGAAGAAGAAGAGGAGGAGAGGTTAGAAGGAGAAGGGCTTCCAACAATAACCTCTGCAGGAACCCGGGTTTTGGTAGCAGAACCCCGACCTAAGGATCCCTGAAATCTTTGAGTCTTTTAATGCTGCAAAAAGTCACGGCAGCAGGTGTAGCTAGGCTTCAGCTTAGTTTCTGATTTTGTAGGAATTTGAGTTTAGTTTCTGCTTTGTAGGAATATGGGTAGTACCAGCTTTGCATAACATTCTTCAGAAGATTGGGTCCCGAAGAAGAAAGTAGCCACTACTTATATATATATAATACAAGGCGGGCAGCGGGCAGTATATGTGTTTTTGCATGTGTGTCTTATATGTGTATGTATATGTATATGTATATGTATATGTATATGTATATGTATATGTATATGTATATGTATATGTATATGTATATGTATATGTATATGTGTAACAGCTCAAGCTTCGATGATGGCCACGACTGCTGCCATCCCTATTGGCTCTATTGCTATGATTCTGTGTTTTGTTTATGATCCACGGTGTAATGAAATACATTCGGAGCCTTCGCACAAGAGGGCGTAGAAGGCGGAAATGGGCAGGTAGTATACGAGCACCTGTCCGTTGTCAAACGGCGCATGAAACGCCTAGGTGAGACCTCGCTGTCAGCACTGCGAAGAGCTCAGCATCCGCTGGTTCATCTGGTTCTTGTAAAGACTTGCTGCATTGCTGGCGTTTGCGTTTTTGTCATCCAAGGTTTCAGCGTCGTGAGTCCCAGTGCCTCCAGGAGAGCTTGGCGGGGACCATTGTCTCCGCCGCTGCCCACGCCCAGGCTCCTTTGTCAAGTGGCAAGCCTCGAGCTGTTTTCGCGAGCTTCTGGTCGTTGTAAGTGCGGTCCAGCAGCATGCAAGCTTGTTTCAGCCGGAACCGATAGGATCCATGTGTTTTGTTATTGCCTGTGTGTGGGGAGGGAATTGAGATTTGGCGAAACACCTTGTTCAGTCTTGAGCTGGTTCAACATGATAAGTTTGTAGTAAGAGGTTGTAACGCATGAGGGCTTGAGATGTTTGGACGTGAGCAGTGGTGAAGTCCTTCTGTAACAAGGTCTCAACATGAGCTCAGCTTCTGCAAGGGCGGGGGGTGGGGATGGGTGGGGGGGGGGGAGGCGATTTGCTTATCCAACCCAGAGCCCAAAGATTCCGAAGGAGGACATGGATCTGAACAGCTCCCCAACCGCGGTGTCGGAGGTACGGCCTGTGTGGGTGCCTGGTGTCGGTTCTTATGGCAGTTACTTAGCATAATGAGGATGCTTTAGGAGTTCGGAATTTTTCAGCGGGGCAGTCATTGCGCGCTCCATGTTTGGTTTCGGATAAGAGGCTACGGTTCCAGGTCATGCTTTCTGGTGCCCCGGCATCTTCTGACAGGCCTCGCCTTGCAATCCGAGAAAGTGGTGGCTTGCGAGCATCTGGGCCAGGGCCCGAAGTGGCGAAGAGGGTTCAGGGAGCTATTCTTCAAAGTCCGTGAGTCTCCCCAATATCTTATTTGACAGTGGTGGGTGATCAAGTATATAAATATAAGTGGGCAGTTTTGGAATATGGACCTGAAGACTGTCACGCGTTTCTTTCTCAGCGTGCAGCCTTGTATTCGGCACACCTTGTGCCTTGAACCTTGGAGGTGCCAGAACCAGCAGACCCTGTTCATAGAAATCATGGTTGGGTCTTTGAAGCTTGTTCCATCCACGAAAGTAAAAGTCGCTCAACAAGGGGAAAGCAGCAGAACAGGCACGAGCAACGATACAAAGTGGCAAACTACTAAAATAGGAAGTTTTCTTCAGCCCTTGCTTTATTGCTGTTTATTACTGGTTTGTAAAGAGACTGCAACCAAGATGGGCTGACACGCAAAGAGAGATCAAAAGACCAGCACACACGCACACACATTTTTTGACTGATTTGCCGCTGTTGTTGGTGCCTGGTGCGGTTCGCATATGATCACCTTTAGTTCGCTTTCTTTCTCAATCCTATTATTGTTCATTCCGTGCGCACGTACATTTTATGGCTCTGGGGGTTGTAGAAGGGGTTCGGTTTAGGGTACTGAGGGGACGTCAAACCCCTTATTGAGGTGTGGAGCTGCGTATCAAAGTGAGGCCCAGAAGAACCCAAGAGACTGCACCTTGGGGGATTTTGCAGTTCTTTGTGTGCACTCGCTGCGCAGGTCAGGATCTTTGAGATCAGTGCCCAGGTCTGCGGACTGACTCCCTGGGCTCGCGGGCAGTTTGCACCTTGCTACAAGGGTTCTGCCGAGACGCTGCAGGGTTCTGCGGCTGCGGCCAGGGAGGAAGCAACGGTCGTAATGGGCACATCCTAAGCCGAACGGTTGATCCAGTATGGCTCCGTGCTTCTGAGGCAGATGTTCAAGACGACGGGTTGGACGACGACCGAGACGACACAGCGGCCCGCTGGTGGCGGCCGGCCAGAATTCTATCCAGGATGTACCATGGCCCCGTGGCAGCAAGTTCGCATGATCCTCGTCGGCCTGAATGGGCCAAATGTAAATGTATGATCTGATTGGGACTATTCGAAACATTCCCGAAAGTGAAGGCCCAAACGTCTCCAGACTTCAAGCCCAGCCCATTTTTGTGCGTTACGTTATGCGATAAGTGTTTGGAGGTTTTCCTCCAAACGAGCCCGTAAACTGAAAAGATACGGCGTGTAGAGCACACCTCCTGAGAACAAGGAGGAGGAGAAACAGGTAAACACATGCACGCTCAAAGCTGTGTGCGGTGTGGCGTGATGGCGCTTCTCAGCTTCTCCTTTCAGGCGCTGGTGTTTTGGTTCTAACGTAGCCACACCTCAGCCTCCCGACTTCCTGTCTCTAGGTCTCATGCCGGCTCTGAGACCATCCGGGCGCGCCTAGTGCGCGTTGGTCAGGGGGACCTTCCTTGGCCTTCATGTGCCGTAGTAGAACAAGAAGGAGGAAGAGAGAGAAATCATTTTGCTTCGAACATCCCCACCCTCTCTTGGTAGAGGCACTCCAGGGACACTCTGGGGTTGGGCACTCCGGGGACACTGGGGTTGGGCACGAGACTCTGGGGTTGGACACTCCAGGGAGACGGACACTCTGCGGTTGGGCGCCAGGGAGACTGTAGGGAAGGGACATTTGGGGTTGGGCACTCCAGCGATGAGCGAGCAGTAGATCGGGCGAGGAGAAGAGTTCCGGGCGAGGAGATCTAACAACCCCACACCGAGGGTGGGGCAAAACACAGTCTTTCTTGAGACCACGGCGCACGTCACGCGCGGGAGCTTGCTCTCATGCCGTGGCGAACGAAAGAAACGGCACCTCACGTTTCGCTTGAGAAGACATCACTACCAAGCCAGGAACCAAATCGCCAACTGCAGCGCCAGGAGTACACACATTAAAACATGCTCGTTATGCTCCAAATCGATGGAAGATGCCAGAATCCGCTTTTCTCTTTTTGAAGAGATGACCACTATGTAAATTGCAGAAGAGCAGACACACCACATGCCAGCATGTGTCCATGTAGGTAGCCACTGAAAAGGGTACAAGCTGGCGGTCTTTGGCGGTCTCAACCCTTTAAGGTCTCGTTATGCTCCTGAACACCGTGTTCCTCTTCATGTCGACCCTTGCCAGCACGATTAGCACATGAGTCAACCTTCAGCACTGGTCAGGCAAAGATCAGGCAAAGCAGTTTGTTGCTTTCGTTGTGTGTGGTGCACCCCTGTTCCGCGGCAACTGTTACCTACGGCCCCCCGAACACGGAAATTGACAGAGGGACGCTGGTTTTCAAGGTTCAGTCTTGCGGGGACGCTTGTCGAATGCATAAGCTCTACAAGGTCCAAGTCTACATGAGCTGAGAGTCAGTTGCAACTGATGGCAGACAGCCCTTCTTCTTTGGGATCAGCAGACTGGGACAGACATGACAGAAGTAGGCACTTTCAACCGGCGTGGCTGGTTGCTGTTTCGGGTGACTTGCGCAACAGGCTGAAGAACTTGGTTTGCAGCAAGGGCCAGGCAGGGGGAATGCGAAAGATTCCCCAAGGATTCGGGGAGCTTTGTGCGGATTTGTTAGGGAAAGATACGGGCTCATGGCTGCCGAGAGTGTTTATCAGCATCACCGGGTGACCTTCGCAAACTTGGAATGTCGGGTGACTTTCGCAAACTTGGAATGTTCGGAACCTGCCCTGGGCCCACAGGAATTCTGTGCCCATGGCCTGAGTTTGGTGACAGATGTGGTCGTGGCTCTTGGCGCGCTGCTGCTCGGCTCCAGTACTCAGAACTCGCACCGCCGATTGCCCCCCACCTTCCCCCCCCCCCCCCCCCCCCCCCACTAAGCGTCACTGGGCCCAAGAGCCTGCTTCGTCTGCGTTGCGAGAGCCATGTGTGAAATTGATGCTGTCATTTGGTGATCACCCTGTCCAACGCTTCCTTATCATTCCCGAGTGCAAACGGAGGTTTGCAGTTTGGACGTGCGGTGGGCTCTGGCACTACGAAGACACGGCAGAGACGCCAAGCAGAAAGTGCAAACCATCCGGTTCTTCCTTGGGTCAAAGACTTGACTGAACAAGCCCTAACTGATACCGTTTCTCCCAGGATTCAGGTGCAGACCACTGACCATCTGGCAGAGTATGTCAGAGAGAGCAATCTCGATCATCAATGGCACATGGACAAAGGCGGCTCAGACAATGCTAATGTTTCATCTCACATTTGTTGGGACGTGAAGGCAGAAGCCGTATAGTAAGAGTTGCGTCCAGTGGAACTCAGATTTTAGATGCTTTTATCGGAAGTTGTACAACCTGACATTCATTTAGCATTCTGCGCAGAGAATCGAGAGGTGGGGCGGCCATGGCCATTGCAGTGGTGTGGCTTGCTGCTGTGTGCTCTCGCGGCTCATTTATGGTGATAGAGTCCACTGACGCCGACGACGACGTGATAAATGCGGTTACGATCGCGCTTCTCAGCTCAACGGGGGAGCCGTACGCTTCCTAATGTAGCCTGGGCATTTTTTGCGCGGCTGTGCTCTTACCAAGGCAGGTCAAGATGGCAAGAGACATGGCAATTGTATGTCTGCTACGAGTCCGAATTTTGCACCACATTTGTGAAGGAGCATGTTGCTCTACAGCCTCGCTGCAGCTTGCCTCCTCAACGCTCCTTGATTACAGCTGGGTCAGGGAAGGTAGCTGTATCACAGCCTTGTTTCCGTGTCATGGGCATCAACCAGGCATGCTACCTCCAAATGTCGATGTGGCGTGGCCTCTCCTTGAGCGTGGTGGCCTTCGCACGCTCCGTCCTGAAAGGCTCGAAGAAACAAGCAATAGGACGGCAGATATTCACTGATTCACTCTGCCAGTCCTTACAAGCTTCATCCTGTTACAACTTCGGAATGATGTATGCGATCCGCGCTGTTCGGAGGTGGAGTCTGCCACAGCCACTGCAACCCAAAATCGAAGCCAGGTGAGATCACTTGCCAAGCTGCACGCGCGAAGTGGCGCGAGGCTTTGGCCAAGGAAACTGTCCATTCTGCTTGGGTGCTTTATTGGATTCTTCTGAGCTTTCGCATTCCTCCATGTGGAAAGAAGCCCAAACTAAGCTCTTAAGCTGAACCTGAAGCCGCGAAAATTCGCAACAAATATGTATTCCTTGCGCAGTTCCAGGCACCCATCCACCTCATTCCTTTCCCAGCATGTTTGATGAAGCCCTGCAGCCCCTCCCAGACTGGGCATGGGGATCAAGTCGCGAAATGCAGATCTGTAGAACACCACCAGAACTGTCAAGGGCACTTTAGTTTGTTTGGGTACCCCTCGGAATCCGTGAAACTGTCAACGCTGTCCACACACCCTCCCACAACGACGACAGTTCCGAAGATGACGACTTCGACATTCACTTCAAGCATGCGAAAACAATTCAGGCCCCACTAGTGACGACAGCTACGACGAGGACAGCGACCACAACCCGCCCGACAAAATGAAGTGGGGAGGTGTGCCAAGTTTGTCTAAGGCAGTTGTTGCCTGTCTTGAAACAGCCGCGATGGTTTGGAGGCGGGGGCGGAGCCTCTGCATTTGCAAGCCGTGTTGGTGAATCTGAGAACAGGAGCGAGCCACCCCTGTAGCTGTCACAAGCGACGACAGTTACCAAGGATCGCAGCCTGGACACGCCCGACCCATTCGACTGTCAGCACTGTTGATGTACGAAGAAGAGCCCAACCGGTTACGAGGGCCGTGAACCCGACGCTATTGACACAGAGCGATGCCAACTGGACTACAGTGGCCGTGCAACACTGAGCTGGGTTCTCGCGACCTTGTGTTAGGTTTTGGAAGGCATGCATTCACTCTCGAAGTGTAATGTAAAACGATGGACGAGGATGAGAACACACTGCGCGTTGAAGGGTCTTGCCAGTTTTGTTCCTGGCAAAACAAAGCGCGACAGCGGGACGACGGAGAGAACCAGGCTGGCCCAAAGCATGAGGGGCGAGGTAGGCATCTAAAGGCACCACGGCCTCGGCGGAGCTTGCGTATTCACCTACAGCACACGTATGGATTGTCTCAAACAAAAGCGATCCCTCCCCCCTTTTGGATGCGAGTTTGTTTGAAGCGAGCTGGCTGGAGGTCATCAGCTGCATGCGCCACATGTCACGGATGTTCCAGCTGACAGCGGCAGCTCTGGTTCCCTGACCTGTTTCATCAACAAGGGTCAGACACTTGAGATTTCAGGCCCTTGTTTTCGTTGTGGAATGGAAGGGCATGTCAAATTGTCGAGACGGCTGTTGACCCAATGTGGACAGTTGATTGAAGTTCTCCGTATGCTCTTGTCGTGCCTCAGCCGCGTTACACAACCTTTTGGTCGACCGAAGGCTTTGACAACGGTCTTTGTCTTCTTTGGCGCAGCCTGGCGGAGCTTGAGGGGATAGACATATGCATCTTTGGCCTGGTGCATGGCAATGTCAGCTTGCTGCATTGGGCGTGGGCTGCACAGCCACGTCAGGGCTGGGCCCTTAAGTGTGGCTGTAGTGGAGATCATTTCCTTGCACATCCCCTGGCAGACCCTAGCCGACGTCCAGCAGGATCGCAAATATGCATCTCAGCTGCACATGGACATAAACTGCGTTCTTGTCAATGTGCACAAACACCGGATGTTCGAATCCTTCAGCTATTAGTGTGGCTTGTGTATGCAGTTTGGCTTTAATTCCGTGTCTTGATGCAGATCCGTTTTTTGACGTCCCTTGCTTCCTAAAGCTTAGAACCCAACTAAGCTGCAAACAGGGCATGCGCTAGAACTGCTAACTCTCTCCGCAACTGTCAACTACGCTCTGTCAAAGGCGCTCCTTCCCAACCTTCTCATTGCGCTCAGCTTGCCAGGTATGGGCACGTGCTTTCAGAGTGCATGTTTTGGGGCATTGAGGGGTGAGGAAGGTCAACTGAGCACAAGCTGTTGGAGGCAAACCCCCGAGCCAGGTGAAGCAGAGTGTGACGAGGTAGATGTGATGCGCGTTCTAGAATTCCGCTTCCTCTATTGGCGAGGGTGAGACAATGCCATGTTGTATGGAGCTTCGGCCATGCCAATGTGCAACGCAGGCTCTCTTGTTGTCGCGGCCACTGCAACTGCCCACTGTACACGCCTTCCCTCCCTAGCCCCTTGGCATCGGGGGGAGGGCTTGCAGACACAATCGGTCCGGGAGTGGTCACCGTCTGCTGCAGCCGGTTTCAATCGTGAGCGTTTGTGCTAAGGTCAGCATGTTGAATGGAAGCGAGGCGGAGGAATCCATTGGGAAGGGGTAAGAGGATCTGCTCGGCTTCAGATGCAGGGTGAGGCTCGTTGAATCACGGGGGTGAGGTTCGGAGTGGATGTGGAGAGCCCAGCACCTGTGAACCTTGCCTGTTCGGAAGGCACTGTTGTGGTCTTGGTTGTTTGGCGTTTGTTGAAGGTTCTCTGTTACATCTCGGCAAACGGCTTTCAGCTTAAGGCCTGCCTTCCGGCTTTCGATTTTTGAGCGAGGAAGCCGAGTACATGGGCCTGGCAATGTTCTTAACGATCAGCGAGTCAGGCTCACTTGTGTTTCACTCAGGTAGTGTTGGACGTTTTGCCGCCATAGACTTGCTGGAATGCTTTTGCGTGCGCCAAGCGCAGTCTGCAAGGCTTTTCCCATCTGCACGTTCCTGCCAGGGAACTTCTGTTGCTTCTTGCCTGTCCTAAGCCCTTGTCATTTTGTTGCTTCTTCGGCAGGCTTCTTCATGTGGGACACTCGAGCACCGCGGCAAAGACCAATAGTGCACGGTTTACGAGAGTAGGGGTACCTTATTGAGGTCCTTACAAGGGAATCCTACTATTTGGGGGTCTGACAAAGCCGTTGTTCTGTCAGGAACAGCAGGCAGCATGTCTCGATCAGCACAAACACGATGTCTCTGAAAACCTTCCGGGCCCTGCTAATGCACAAATCATCGAACTGCCTCGGCAAAGCCAACGCCCAAATGAGCAGTTGTTTTTTTTCAAAATGAAAGAGCATATAGAGATGCGATTGTTGAAAGTCGACCGCGTAGCATCTTGCCTGCAGAGCGTAGGTGTGCGTAGGGTCCGCGTCGGCATGTCTATGTTCGGTGCAAGGTCAAAGAGCATGTTGACGAAAAGGTCGGTAGGAAGTACAGGGTTAGGGAGTTCCGGGCAGGCGCGGCGTAGCTTGCATGAAGGCATAGGTCTCATTTTCCATGTTGTTGCATGTCATGCTCAGCCGAAGGTGACGCTCGGGGTCGTGCAGCGCTTCCTCTATTTCACTTTGGCGATCGTTGGCACCATCGGCTTTCAAACCAAGGCAGCTCTCCGGTTTCGGTTCTTTGGGCTTGGTCAAAAGGTTAGCTCGAGACTTGAAGGCAGTTCTGCCAATAATCCAGCTTTCCTGCAAGGTTCTCACCTTAGAGAGCTTTGGCTGATCCGCGGCTTGCCTCGATCAGCGCAGTGTCGCCTCTAAGACTTGTTGGCCTTGAGGTGGTTGCCTTGTGTCTCAAGCTTCAAGCTCTGGAACATTCTGGAACGGTATATGCCAAGCACAGAGTCAGTCGGTCCTTGAATCCTAGCGGACATCGCTTCGGCCTCTCGGGCGATACTGCGTCGCTGGACTTTGCATTCGTCTCCAACTCCAAACGTGAAGAATAGAAGCTCGTGAGTCTACTGATGTCTACTGGTGGTATTTCAGGGCGGGGCGCCATGCTTATCATGTTGGTCGGTTTGTGGCCCCAAGGTTAGCACGCAGTTTCTTGTAAGTAAACTAGGCGTGCATCTGGCACTCGAACCTGGTGCTAGGAATGCAACTTACAGCTTGGATGCGAAGCCTGCTTCGCATGACGCCATTCACCATCCACATGAATTCATCTCACGTGTGGCTGAGGTGGATTTCTGCGACAAGACACCTGAAGATCGAGTGGTGCACTGAATGCTGCCAATCCTGAGGGTATGGCCGGGATTGGCCAGGCATGTGGCCATGTCAGCGTGAACCAGTGTGGGCACAGGTCGTGGTGCCCCCTGTCATTTTTCAAAAATGCGGCTTCAATGTGGAGCCGATCTTCCCCTCGAACGCAGACGGCAGCGAGGGTAACGGCTTCCAAGGACCGGTGTACTGCCCCTGCGTCGATACAGCCCTGAGTTGGGATTCAACAAGCGCCCCCCTTAGTTTCACAACTGTTTGTTTCCATTTGTTGAACGTCGGGGGCAGGCATCGGGATGCCGTATGCAGCACATCTGGCACGGCTGTCAGACTGTTTTCGAGAAGAACATGCAGATTGCCCCCGCGACAATTGGGAATTTGGGAATGTCTCCACGCACATGACTTGGACGTCGCCGGCCGTGAATCCCTACATGAATCCCTACAGGCCCTACTAGATGCAGTGTCATGTATACTTACAACTTGGGTCTGCAATGCTTGTTTGGGGACATCCCTCGTCGGGTGCTTGTGAGAGATACCCAGTCCTCTCCAGAGCGAGTCAGAACGGCGAACTGTGGACGGTTAGGGTTCAGTTTACGCTCTAGGATCTCGGGGGTTCAAGCCCAAAGTGCCAATTTCTGTGCATGCTCGGAGGCGCCAGTGCTGGGGCCACGAATGTCATGACTCTTGTGAGCATCCCATTGGATCACAAGGGCAGGATGCACTTTCTGCACATTTTTCAACTTTCGGTCGCCGACCTGGTCACCCTGACTGGCAAGTCTATGCAGGTTGACCAATCTTCGCTTCCTTTGCTTCCTTTCTGGATCGGAGAAGGTCTTCTCCAGGCAGGCCGGCCGAATCCCAAATCATGAAGACAAAAGGCGGGTGTAAAGGCGAATCATGGCGAATCCAGAGTCTTAAGCTGCCGTTACTGTAGAGTCCTTTTAGCGCAAGGGCATGCTGCCAGTGACCTCGAGGTCAGCTTGGGGGTCTCAGCGCAATCCCAAGTCAGGGAAATCTGACACGCTTTCACACAGTCGCAAAGATCCTGGAGTTCAACGAGTTTAGCGTGGAAGGCTAGAAAAGGATCAAGCTTCTCCCAAAAGGTCTCAGCACCAAGCTTCATGGCCTTTGGTATGTGCCGGCTGCCAGAGAAGCCCCTGTGTATGGATGGAGGCATGGAGGGGCTGAGCGGCGAGGACAACCAAAGGTAACAGTCGTCCAATTCTGTTTCAAGTTCTGAGTGTCGTTGTGTCGTCCCTTCTTGGACATCTGGCCTGTGGCGCGGTGGTTTTGGGAGGCGTTTCATTTTGGAGGTTTCCTAGAAGCCATCACGCAGATTCGCATAGCAAAGTTGAGTGATCTTGCCAGGTTCTCCTGTCTGTCCAGTCTTTCGTTTTCAGGTTACTGGCCGTCAGAACGCAGTCCTCTCTTTTCAGCTGTGCTTCAGTGCTGGCCAGTGCTGGCAAAGAGGCAGCTCAGCCTCCGCAACGAATGGTTCTCCAAGAGCGCAGGGAACAGCACATGCAGCACCTGGTCTTGTCGGGGGCTTGGCAGTAAAATAAAGGCTTTGGGGTGTGTACCAGGAGGATGCAGCTTGTTTCCCTGCTTTACGCCTTCAATGTGTTGAGTGACCAAAAGCGCTTCACTAGCGAGTGCTTTCTGGGAACTCGAGTGCGCTGGCAAAACTGCCAACAGACCTCAAGTGACCCACATGTCTGTAGGGTCCATGCTGACATGGACACCATGAATCTTTCCATGTGGGCTTCCTCGGTCGGCTTGTGCCATGACCCTCATGCCAAGCTGCACCAATCTACACTAAACGCGGTCCGAGTGAAAACAGCAACAATCCCATAATTCCTATAGCACAACACTGCATGCCACCGAAAGCTTCCGGTTGGTAGAAATAGAAGACGAACGAACAAGGTTGTCTATTTCTATTTGTTTCGGGGGCAAAAACCGAAGGCACGCATGCTGCGGTGGGCCCTGCAGTGTGCGCGAGTGCTAGGCAAGCAACAGAAACTCTGCGACCATGGAAGCTTGCAGACAATTGCAGACCTTGCCGCTCGATCCCTCCGAATCAAGAGGACGGCGCTTGCAAGTTGCCAGAAATTTTCGATATGGCGATCGGTTATTCTCATCACTCAGAGAATCCCTGAGGATGAAGGATACAGCTCCCCGGAGCAGCCTTGCAGGTTCAGCAGTCGTTTGTGTGAGACGATGGTGAGGCCGCTAGGATTCGTGCAACATACAATGTGGTTTTTGTACCGTTTTGTACCGGCCGAGTGATATGCCCAACTCAAGCCCAAGGCCTTCCGGCAAACAGCTGTGCCATCGCCCAGCAATCCCTAAGAAAAGAGAGGGACAGCTCGGACTGAGGGGGGCCGTGATGGTTCAGGGAACTGGGCCGTGTCATGGGCCAGCACAGTCTTGTTTCCAGATCCGAAGTATGCCATCGCCTTTTTTTGGTATTGTGACACATGTATGGTCAAGCATTCTTGAATGTTCCGTGGGCCCAGGGCTCAGAAACTTTCTTTGGCGGCGCATGCTTGTTGTGACAGTCGGGCATGCATCGCTGCAGCAGGGCTCAGGAAGACACTGCAGGACCTCGTGTGCCAGAAATGTCCTGCGTAGATCAAGTCATTTCCAGTTAGCCCCCCACCAACTTCTGCAGGGAGCAAGGGGCAAGGACTTCGATCCAGCAACCACAATACAGCTCAGTTTCACGGGGCACTTTCGATTCTCTGGGGAGCCATGACGGACTCGCGAGGTGGGGCCGTTGTAAGCACGTAAATTTAACCTGCAAATTTTTTATGCTCACCCCTGCTGGCGGATATCGCACGAGTTTGAAGATCGATTGCAACATGGTGAGTCGCAGAAGGATTCATGAGCAGTCGCTCGCCTAGCTCTGCGTCGTATGCGTCAGTACTTCTCGTTCTTGCGATATTCACTATACAATACTGCATAGTAATTAAACGTCAGCATTTCTGCTGGCCTCTGTGATGGCAGGTGTGGGCATACCCGGACATAGCTTGGACAGCTACGATGATCTGGCAATGCAGCCTAGCTGAAGGGGAGCTGGCAACAGCGCAGGTTTGTGATTTTATGGGGCCGTCCTGTGCGAAAAACAGCTGCAGCAGCTCAATGTTTCAACTTTTCTGTGCATCCAACTTAGCTCCTAATACTAGGTCCTATGCCCTTCCTACTGCCCTTCTACTCAAACAATGGCCCGGCAACCTATGTTGTTATTTATTCGATTGTTGCTAGTAATTCCATAGCTGCCTAACAACATCTTTGTAGTCGTGCCGCTGTTTGCAGTTCAGGACATGACAGCGTTTGAGTGTTGGATTTCTTTTCATGCTGTTGTTCGAGGAATTAGGAATGCTCTTGAATAGTGAGCATAGCAAGCGTGAGGTCCAGCAAGCATCTCAAGCGTGTTACTGTCGGAGTCTGCGGGCCAAGCGTCGCCCTTTCGCCAGCGCAGAAGGGGCTGAATGAAAGTGTAGTAGGTATGTGAAGCTGATCTTTGTCGACCTGGCGATGTGCTGCCCTGGCCGCCGAGGTGTCTGCTAAGGTTGCCGCACATTCTCGGAGAACCGGACCATTCGCTCGATAGTAGCCGGGAGGGGACCCTGAAAACACAGCAAACGACACAACAAAGCCAGAGACAGCTCTGAAAGAACGTTTGAAAATCCTCAAGCTAAAGATAAGCACGGTGAGATATGCACTGATTACCCAGGGGCGACATGGACGAGATTGAGGTGGATGGGGAAGGCTCGGAAAGGTGTCTGAGTCTATGGTTGAGGGTTGTACGCGGACAGGCCCCCAGTTCGGCGTGTGGAATTCTCATATGAGGGCCGAAGAGCAGTATGCCCGTCCTTCGCTCTCCTTCGTGGACTCGAGATCCTCGGTTTTGTTTGGTTCTGTGTAATTGGCGTGTGCGATGCTTTTTGTGACTTTGCGTGGCGTGGTGCTCGAGATCCATGGGGTGCTGTAGTGGCACTTGGGATCTAAGGGAGGGGATTGTGCATACCGCATGCAGAACGGGTATGAAATGGTGAGCCAAAATGTTGCACCAAGTGCCAGCACAATTCTGGCGAACACCCTGTTCGTGGATGCCCTTTCGTCAGGCAACCTACTTGGTTACATTGCGCTTCCGAAAAGAATACATCCCTCTGATTGTATCGCATGTTGGAGTTGAGGTAGATTGTCGGTTGAATGTTAATTGTAGATGTAATTTCATGATCTCAAGCTGATTACGGCTACCTACAGCCGGGCCAAAGGACTGCCTACTGCACAGTTAGGTTTCGCAGAGTTGCATCAGAAACGGCTTCCTTCATGCTCAAAACCTCACACGCGTGCTTGACCCTTCCATTTTCATCAGATGGAGTCCGCTTCGGCAGGTGATGAGTTGGAGGATGTGGCCGATGCCCCATCTTCCCCACTTCCTCCCGTGATGTCTATGGAGCACCGCGGCGCCTCATTGGTTGCGGTTGCGGGGCGGAAGGAAGG